TGTCAAATAAACTACATTTATTAAAATTCTTAAATTCTAACTAAATTTCGGTAGCATAACGAATTATTTTTCATATGATCCAAAAATCCAAACCTGTAAAAAAACAACTTTAAAATTTTTTGTCTCTGATGTGCCACCCAAAACAAGAATCACAAACATATAAATATGATAATGAAGTCAAAAAATAAGTACTAACCTTCTTATTGCGATGCTAAGAGTACGATAACCGACCATATAAGCTTGGATACTTTTGGTTGCTGCGATTAGTTTTATTTGTCTCTGATATTTTCTGTTTATGATTAACTATAATAAGTAATAGTTACTTGAAATTATGTATAAAAAATTATCAAGTTCTAACAAATCTATAATTACTTGAAATTTGTCGCCGGAGAACATATCGCAACAACGATCCCAATGAACTTGATTTCTCATGTTACTCGGGAGACTTTCTCTACCATAGTGTTTGTAGTGGCGGTGCAGGGAACTTTTCCAGTCCTTGTAGCACTTTGATGCCTCCCTATCAACAACGGACCTCAAAATGCCGTTCTTGTAGTTGTAGTCCACGTTAAACCAGTCCTTGCAAAACAGTTTCACATCATTAAAACGCATTGTTAACTATAGTCTAAACTATACAAATTATTGCATAAAATAAATACCAGCATCCGGTCCTGAATTGTCCTCTTGTCCATGTCGCTAATGTCCTTCCAAGCATCGTGGAAGGGCTCGCATATGTCCCTGGTATAAATACCAACCGCACTATCAAACCAAGCACCATATTTACCAAGCGCCTTCCACGTACCTCCCGCCTCATCAAAGTCTACTATGATTTTTCCGTCTTGAAGGACCTTTTGGGCGATTTCATAACCTTTTGCCCCACCTCACCCTCTATGTTGTCGAGGTTCAGGTGTTGTAAGCATATGAAAGCATTTCAAATCAACATTTACTACTACATTTAATTATTATATGATAGAACAAGAAACCACAGCCAGAATAACATACCAGACTCACAGTATACGGGGAGTCTGTGAGGACCGGGAGGAGGCTGCGCTCCCTCTGAAGAGCCAGCGCAAGTCGCTACCCTACCAGCCATCAATGTCTGTGAACAAATTCATATTAATAACAATATTTATAAATTCAAATAAGATCATAATATTAAAACAAAATCTGAGAAAAATGACAAAGATTACTATTTTGTAGTTCTATTCATCGTCGCTGCTACATTGTTGATTGTCTCCATCATCATATATGTCATCATCGTCTTCAGATTTGATGACTTCCTCTTCAACGTACTCCTCTAAAGTTTCATCATCTTCGTCATTAATAAAATCATCAACTACGGGAGACTTATCTTTCATAATTGCATCAACATCGGAAGTGACAACATTAGACGATCCATCATCTCGATTCAATACAAATGAGTCAATCTCTGGTAGTTCCACTACTAACTCAATATTTATAGACTCTGTATCCTGGACTATCATCACGTCATCAATGTCAGTTTCTAGAATGTCCCAAATATGTCGATGTCTAAAGTGTTCTACAACCTTCCAGTTTGGACCGTTAAATGAATCGTCTACGTAAAAAACTTGCTTTGCTTAAGATGCAAGTACGAAAGGTTCATTTTCGTACCACGTGTCTTTAACAAAAACACTTATTCTATTTTTGTAGTGTTGAATCATTTTCTTCCCCAGACGAGTGTCAAACCACAAACATTTAAAAAGCATAACAGAATTGTCATTCAAGTAGGACAGTTCATAAATATCCTCCAAAACTCCATAAAACATTTGGTTATTAGGTCCGCGAACACAAACACCACTATTTTGAGTACTTCGATTCATATCTTGATTGCGTGTTAGAAATTTGACACCGTTGACCACACAACCAGGATAACTTCGACATGAGAAGCTTGAACCACTTGAAAGCGAAAGTATTTGATCATTCGCTTCTGGGCCATTTTGCTTTCGAATATTGAAAATCTGTAACGAGACATGAATTTCTTTAAAATGAAATTTTTTAATGACTTAACAATGTTAATGCAAATTAATTATAAACGTACCTTATTCTTAAACCATTTTGAAAACTCTTTCGATTGAATTTCATCCAATGGTATTATTCGACTGTCGGCATCAATCTCCTTCCTATGGTCACTGTTTAACAGAGAATGAAAGTAAATGACACGATTGTATGCGACACACTCAATGAACAATTAAGTGACAAAAGTGAAAATAATATGTACTCAATGAACTGCTGAATTTCTGGACAGTTCTGTAGGACGTACCACTCGGCTTTCTCTCGCAAATGAGTATCCAATGTGACGGGGGTCATCTTCCCAATTGGCCGACAGTGATTATCAAATACAGAAATCTTTTTAACAATACGATCTTCATCGTCCATCCAATTTCTGGCTAGTCGGTTAAACCGTGTTTCAACTCCAGTTAAATATCTCAGTAACGTCTTCCATGGTCATCATGGTCATCATTAATCCCAGCAACATCTTCTAAGACTGCAAACATCTCATTTACTGGTTGATTAACTATTGGGTCTACACCTGAAACCGCTTCTACTTCACCATGGTGAATCCATGTTCTATACAATGGATCAAAACCAAATTGATGTATATGCGCTCTCAAAGTTTCTACTGGATGCATTTCATGGTTTCTACATTTCATACAAGGACAGCTGATATGGCCAATTGAAGTTGCATAATTTTTGGCGACCTCAATAAAAGCAGATAACCCATTCCAATATTCATCTGACAATCGGTTCTTCAAAGAAGTCCAACTTTTGTCAATCGGCATTTTAACTATAAATGACAACAGACATACCAATTTATTAATGTGTTTAATTAATTTTAATTTTACTCTTAATTAACACAATTAAGTTTTATTAATTAAAGTGTGTTAATGAACTTATTAAAATTATGGTTTCCTAACTAAATTTCGGCAGCATAACGACTTTATTTTAATATATTCCAAAAATCAAAACCTGCAGAAAAACAACTTTAAAAGATTTCGGCACACCATAGCTGCAAGATGTGCCACCCAAAACAAGAATCATAAACATATACTAAATTTCAACAATATAACAAAATCATAATTCAAATATTGTTATCATAATCCCGAATTCATACAACTACTACAATTCTAAACTAAATAAATATAAAAAACTTACAAAGTTCAAACCCACTAAACGGGGGCTGAAAATAGAAGGATTACGTCGGAGGAACCGTGCAAACAAGGACGAAGGCGAGAAATCAAATGCCTACTCAAACGCCTACATCAAATTAAAACATCAAACATAATTTTCTAACACCAAAATTAACAATTTATTAACATCTAGAGTAATATATAGACACAATGAGAGTTTAAAAAAATATTATGGGCTTGATCCGCTTGTGTAAAAACAAGGGCTACAATAAAAAAAAACGCAAAAAAGAATGAATACTTTTTTATAGTTTTAAATTTGATACACAAACAAATTAATTGTTCATTCATAAAAAGTTTTGCATTAAGATTAATATTAAATGTTCTCATATGCCTCTCACATTGATATTCAAAGAGAGTTTAATCTCAACATAATTGTTACTAATTAACGAGTCATATCATCATCTATATGATGCATATAAATAGAAAATATTGATCAATAAAGTTAAATTTAAATTAACGAATATGAAAATTTAAGCAATCACTCAAAAATATACGAAGATAAATATCTAAAGTCTGGATTAATTTTACGAAGCTTAATAATTTATGAAAGGCTACGACTACAAATTCTATAGGAAAAAAAATGTTATGTTCTTCATGCTCGAATCTAGTTCTAAGTATAATCTAGTTCTAAGTATAATGCTTAGGAAATGATTCTAAGTTCTAAGTATAATCTAGTTCTAATAACAAGTTATTACAGAATTGTTTTAAGAAAAAAAAAAAAAAAAAAAAAAAAAAAAAAAAAAAAAACTAATTAACCTCTAGCTATGGGGGCAGCGGGTGGCAGTGCAGCGGCGGGGCAGGGCGGCGGGACGGCGGCGGCGGCAGGAAACGGAAATAAGAGAGAGAGAGAGAGAAAGACCAGAAGAGAGACAAAGGGAGAGAGGGAAGGGGAAGGCCGGCGGTGGTGGAGAGATTTGCAGGAGAGAGAGAGAGATTCACAAGAGAGAGAGAGAGCGTCGGGAGAAAATGAAGAAGAAGAAGAAGGGGATATTAGGTCAGAGTTATTTGCGACGACATATTCATCGTAAATAAATTTAAAATGTCGTCGCTAATACTATAATATTTGCGACGACATTATCGTCGTAAATTAATAAAATGTCGTTGCAAATACTAAAATATTTGCGACGATATTTTCTCGCCGCAAATATTTTAAAGTCGTCGCAACTAATGCTTTTTTCCCGTGCCTACTTTATCGTCAAATAAGATTATTTGCGACGACACTAAAACAATGTCGTCGCAAATAAGGTAAAACTATTTGCGATGACGAATGTCGTCGCAAATAGTCATGACTTGTCGTCGCAAAAAAAAGGATTACCTTGGCGCCAATAATCCGCGCCATTGAAAATTGCGCGCCAATATTTTTTGTGACGACAATGAAATTATTAGCGACGACATTATTATTTTATTTAACGGTATGTATTTATGACGACATGTCGTCGCAAATGGGCTTAATTGTTGTAGTGATGGAATTGCTATTTTCTTCTCAAACATAAAATCAGCAGCTAGAGGCATGAATAATGAATTTAAGTCAGGGACATAAAGTACAAAAGTAAAATGTTAAATGTAAAATCAGCTCTTAATAACAAAAGTCCTTACAAAAAGACAGCAAAAGGTCTTACTTGTTTGGCTTATGAAAGCATTAGATTGACCAGAGTATGTAATTGGTAAGAGGGACAGAAAATCGGAAGGAATGAAGGAGAAATTTATATATATTCACCTACATATTATGATTAACAAATAAAAACTAATGCTAACAATGATGAGGGATTTTATTCCCCTATAAAGATTCCTCACCCATACCAAAATTTCTTGCTTCCTTACATTGTAATCGTCATACGCACAATATATATATATATATATATATATATATATATATTCCTTTCCAGTAAGAGGAATGTAACCCTCAATTTTTGGTTTTTCTTTATCAATAAAATAATTTGTGAATAAAAGAGCACTCAACCTAAAAATTCCCCTCAAGTTCCATCAATAGCTAGCTTGAAGTTTAGGGAGCACATTGTCACAATGCTTATAGTCAAAGGGGAATTTTCACATTTCACCTGACATTCCCATGAATAATTTAATGGAAAAGAGAAATTTATAAGATGTCTAAAGTTCAGGTGGAGGGAGAGCTAAAATTAAAGTTGACGAGGCATTTTTTGATAAGGCCTGTGGTTCGGGGGGCAGTGTGAAATTTGTCCAAATAAAAGATATGCAAATCAATAGATTTTATATATAGTTTCAAGACAAAATCTTGATTTTTTTTTTCCATATTGTAAAATTTTCTCTATGTATGGTAGTTATTGAAAGCTACTAAACTACAATTTTTTTAATACTTTTTCATGTCATTTATTTTTCAAAAAAAAAAAAGTATAACATTACACACCCATTTAGATTGAAGGCTGCCTCCGCCACTACAACGAACCTACATTATAATCATGTGGACACCTACTCAATAAAAGAGATTACCTTTAAGTGATTTTGTCCATCTCAATTCGTTTTATTGAGTTTTTTTTTTTTTTCAATTAATCAAAATTTAAACTAAGTTTTCATTCAAGTCTCCCACAACAACTTGCTTCACTTAATAATTACGTTTAATTCTTGAATAAAACCTGTGTACTCTTAAGCCAAGTTGTGCAAAAACTAAAAATGTGATGTTCCTTGTGACGCGTAAGAATCTAGTGATACTCTGTTCAAGACGATAAATAGTGTGCATGTGAGATTGAGAAGCTAAATGATAATAGAATTTAAATAGTGTTAAGGTCCACAACCAAAAAAATAAAATAAAATATAAAATAAAAAGGTTTAAAAGTCACAAATCTTGACTAAGTGTCTAAGCCTAAAGATTAAAAACGCTCGCAATTTGCTGCTCCTAACTTGAGTTAATTTCATGTAAAGAAAAGTAAATATAAACCAATCCTAATCCAACTCTAATTAAGCAATAGTGCCTAACATATATCTAACGTGAACATCATTCAAACTCTCCTATTCATAGTCAGTTTTCCTTGTTGAATTGGATTAATTAGAAAACCAAATACCAATCCAACTCTAATCATGCAATTAGTTTTCCTAGTTGAACTCTACTATACGAGTGAGTACTGCCTATATATGTATCATACTCTTGCCATTCGTGATCAATTCTCCGATCAAAGTGCCGCTTTCTCAAAATTCTGAAAAAGATGAAGATAGTCATCAAGAACGGAAGTTGAAGCTGCAGAAACGGCAAAAGAAAGTAATGAAGAGCGTCCTTGCAAGAGACTGAGGATAGTTATCAAGAAAAAAGGTTTAAAAGGCGAACCGCTGAAGCCTCTAGGTAAAGATGCCTACTTCGTCGCCAACGAGGAGCAGACAATCGGAGTGGTCGACGGCGTTGGTAGATGGGCCAGAAAGGGCATCGATTCCGGTGAATATGCGCGAGAACTCATGAAGAACTCAATGGCAGCAGTGATCGGAGAAGCCAAAGAAGGATCGGTTCCAGCTGATCTTAAAAGTGTTTTGCAAGAGGCTTTCTCCAAGACCATACTCCCAGGGGCCTCAACGGCTTGTATTCTGACACGCAACGAGGGCGTTTTGCGTGCCATTACGGCGTGTTCGTAAAAATCTACTGAATCCGTCTTATGTTAGTCCTTTTGAAATAGCGAATGCAATGGCGGGAAGAGTGTTCAAAGGAGGCAAAGTGGATGAAATTGCAGTCGTCGTTGGACAAATCATTCGACACTATGGTCTGAAGATGTACATGATGTTGGAGTTTCTTAAGAAAAAATCACCAGGATTATGCACTCTTTTTCCCTTGCTGAGGTTTTTGGCCTTTTGAGGTTTTTACTTGACAAGGTTTTAATGAGGCCTCTCCCAATCAGGGATGAGTAGATCAATTAATGGTCGTTTTTTCAACTTTAGTTTGACAGGTAATTGTTAGTTGTACATGGTAGATTATTATATTTTTCAGATTAATTATATGCAACTATATAGTATGGTTAGATAGTTAGGTGACAACCTAGTTGGAATGTGACTATCTTTCCTTATAAACGTTTGATATCACTTCTTAGTTGTTTTATGAGCAAGAAAAATATTCATTATTCTCTCCCTTTTGTCAAACAAAATAAAATTATCCACAACATGACGTTCAATTTGTTATTTGGATTTATAAGGAAATGAGTCAAGTCATATTACAGTAGATCGCTTGAGTTTACCATTTTTAGGATACTCGATATTAAAGAGAGGAGCCATCATTCAACTTTGCAGTGGCGTGCACACAAACTTTTTCGAGAATTACATTACAAGAAATATATATTGACATTATATATAATTCTTAATGAAATAAAATGCAAAAAAAATTTCCTATAATCCATGTACAGGGCTTGTACTGAGGTAACTAACGAAGTAAATATTAGAAACAAATGATCTGCGCATGAAAATTTTACAGCCCAATACAATTTTATCATACATCTAAGGCATGTTTATTTCACATCAAAAAGAAAAGGAAATTGAAGAGTGATTTTTTTTCCTATCTAATAATGTTTATTTACAAAACTAGTAATGAAGATTTAATGGGCCGAGAATGAAGAAAGAAAATGTCAATCCTTACACTCCCTTTAGTATTAATTTCTTGTCAAAGAGAATGAATGCTAAATTTACTTATCTATCCTTAATAAATTACTTTATAGTCAATAATTATTGAATTGTATAAAAAGACATTTTAGTTATTACATTTATAACATTACTATTCCAAATTTTAGTAAACATAAAAAAGGGAATGGGATTGTTTTCTATTACACAATCTAATAGTCAAGTAAACACATGAAAGGAAATAAATGACCCTTAAACCTATTACTTTATTTTTCTTTCAAATCTCATTACCTTTTCCATTACATTCCTTTACGGTTCAGTAAATGCGCCCCTAACCTATCTGTAGTGTGCACAATGGCCTGTGATCAGTTAGTAAAACAAGAGTTGGTTATGGTCTATAGTGATCCTGTGTTAGGCATGATTGATAGTGTAGCTTCAAACATTCTGCGTCAAAGATCATCAATCTTTCTTACTCCGAGCAACATCAACAATGTATCGATTCAAACGCTGACCAAATATCTTTGTAGAGAATGACTCGGTGGCATGCTGTCGAGCTTCAATCCCCATACTCTCTGCCAGCCGTGGGTCTTGAATGAATTTAGCCATAGCCAAAGCAAAATCTCGTGAAGTAGGATCACAGAGATATCCGGTAGTGCCATTTTTAACAGTCTCTACAGGGCCTCCGCTGTTGCAGGCAATAACAGGTTTCTGTGCTGCCATCGCCTCGAGAGGAACAATGCCAAAGTGTTCATCCTGCATCAATTGAATAATGTGTTATTTTTTCTTCCATAGCATCCAATAAAATTGGAGCAAATCATAACATCCATACCTTTGGTGTATAAAGGACACATAAACATTGGGAGAGAAGTTCATTTCTCTCAGATGTTGAGCACGACGTGATGAAATTAACCTGTCCAGATACGCCTTCCCTCTTTGCTAAAGTTTTCAGCTCCTCCAAGTATTCAACATTCTCACGAAGACGTTTATCAAAACCACCTGCAACAATTGCTACATATCAGTTTTGTGCTTGTAGATATGCGGGACCACGAACTAGCACCACTAAAAATGTAATGTAAAACATCAAATGCTACCATGTATTTCTCTGACGTGTTGTGGACAAACAGAAAACTGGTTTTCAAACTAAGATCTGCTAACGACCACTCAAAAGTCACTGAAATAACCATCTAAGTCTACTTTTACAATCACATAACATGAAGATGACAGAGGGCATCGTGACTCCTCGGTGACAATTCTAGGTCTTGACGTTAGGCCTTTGTACAAGTACCGGAACAGTGATAGGTACCTGCCCTGACTTAATCAAGATGATGAAAATTAACACTAGGAATTTGAATGAAAATACCCAGAAAGATGGGTTCTGGTTCATTTTATTGATGAACACTCCTCTATTCCTCAATTACAGAGAAGCTCAACAGAAACAAACACCAAAAGGAAAAAAAGATAGAATTGAGAGAATTTGAGGTCTCTCCCCCTCCCAGACCAACACTAACTTTCACAAGATTCGATGCCCCTGCCTAGAGCACCTCCCCTCCCCTATATTTCCTCTCGAACAAATTCCTCTAACGGAATTGCCAACTCAGCAGCGTCACTAGCCCTGACCACATCACTCGTCTTTCCCTTTTTACCCCTTCTAGTATAGGTAAATCTCAAAGGAGGCCTGGGCAGGGTTCTATCAATACCCCCCCTTCGAGAGCCACCTTGTCCTCAAGGTGGAAGTGGGGAAGCTGTTGTTGGATCACATCCAGGGGTTCCCAAGTCGCCTCCCAGCTAGGTAGCCCACACCAAACCACCAACCCTTCCACTCGGTCTTGGCTGCCGCAAGGAGATACACGCGTACGAAGGATTTCAGTGGGCTCAACCACGAGTTTCAACTCCTCCGTTAATTGCACTGGCAATGGCTGGTTCTTATACTCCCTGCCCTTGAATGCCTTCAATTGCGAAACATGAAAAACAGGGTGGATGCGAGCCGTATGAGGTAATTGTAGACGATAAGCCACAGCCCCTACACGCTCGAGGACAGGAAAGGGTCCGTAGAAGCGAGGTGAGAGCTTATCATTAACCTTGCGCACCAAGGACTTGAGACGGTATGGACGGAGCTTGAGCAAAACCAAGTCGCCAGGCAAAAAAGTTACCTCGCGACGGTGAGCGTCCGCGAACTTTTTCATTCGGTGTTGTGCTACCACAAGATGGTGCTTCAAGCAGTCAAGCATATGGTTTCGAAGCTGCATCTGTAGATTGACATCTTCTACCAACGAAAGCATGTCGTCGGACTCTAACATAGGATCCTTGGGCAGGGCAGCCAACAAATCCTGGAAGCAGAGCAAGGAGGGAGGAGGGCGGCCATAAACGGCCTGAAAGGGCGTGAACTTAGTACTCCGCCCAAGGCAGGAATTGAACCCACAACCTAGGTTTGTCGCCGGCAAAGCAGCGTAAATAGGTCCCAAGCAGCAATTGACGACCTCAGTTTGTCCATCAGATTCTGGGTGATAGGTAGAGTTATGGTGCAACTTCGTGCCATATTGCTTGAAGAGTTCCCGCCAAAACAAGCTCATGAAAACAAAATTGCGATCACTGACAATCGTGCAAGGGATCCCATGCAAGCAGACAATCTCGCAGATGAAGACTTCTGCGACCTGTTTGGCCGCGACAGGGTGAGCAATGGGGCAAAAATGAGCATATTTGGTCAGCCGATCCACTACCACAAGGATCGTGTCAATGCTCTTTACCCGTGGAAAGTCCTGAAACGAAGTCCATGGAGATGTCTTCCCAAATCTGTTGCGGAATCGGAAGGGGCTGCAACAAACCCGCCGGAGAAAGAGCTTCATACTTGGAGCGTTGGCAAGTCGCACAATGGGAGACATGGTCCCAAATCGTTTTCTTCATTCCAGACCAAAACACGTTGGAAGATAACCGTTTGTAAGTGCGGAAGAATCCAGAGTGTCCTCCCATGGCGAAATCATGAAACTCATTTAACAAGAGCAGAATCCAAGCTGAGTTCGGAGGCAACACAATGCATTCATGAAAACAAAGAAGTCCATTCCGCAAGCTATACCCTCTAACGTCAGCTTGGCCAACCTACAATTGAGAAATTAGTTGAGCACACACGGCATCTGTCTGCTGCTCACGCTTAATGGCTGCGACATCCAGTAACTGAGGTATGGATTGGGCCATATAAGTACAAGTGTCTTCTCGGCGAGACAGAGCATCCATAACCCGGTTGGCAGCCCCCGGTTTGTATCGCACTTCGAAGTCATACCCCATCAATTTGGAAATCCAACGGAGATGTTCCGGAGGAAGTAGGCGCTAGTCTAATAAGAACCGGACTCTGTTGGTCTATGCGTACCACGAAATGTCAGCCAAGAAGGTAGTGACGCCACTTTTGAACTGCCAAGACCACTGCCATCAATTCCCGCTCATACACAGACTTCAAACGCGAAGTAGGCGACAAAGCCTTACTGAAATATGCTATAGGCTTTCCCTCGCATTAGTACCGCCCCTAGACCCGAGTCTGACGCGTCGGTCTCCACCACGAAGGTCTTAGAGAAATCCGATAGAGCCAAAACTGGGAGAGTGGTCATGGCCAACTTCAAAGCCTCGAAGGTGCGCGAGGTTGCCTCCGACCAATTGAACACCCCCTTTTTAAGCAAATCCATTAAGGGTCGGGCAAGAGCTCCATAACCTCTTACGAAGCGACGATAGTACCCTGTGAGGTCGAGAAACCCACGGACAACATGCACGTTTTTAGGTTCAGGCCAATCCCAAATGGCCTGCAACTTAACTAGGTCGGCCGAGACCCCCTCCTTCGATATTACATGCCCCAAGTACTCAAGCTGGGATTGCCCAAACACACATTTCTTCCGATTCGCAAACAATTTTTCCGCGCGCAAAACCTCCATCACTGTGGCCAAATGAATCGTGTGCTCTTCCCAAGTGCGGCTGTAGACGAGGATATCGTCGAAAAAGACCAACACAAACTTGCGCAAGGCCGAAACACCGAATTCATCAAGGATTGGAACGTTGCCGGTGTATTTGTTAATCCGAAGGGCATTACTAGAAATTCATAGTGCCCCTCATGTGTGCGAAACGCGGTTTTCTCGATGTCACCTTCGTGAACTTGGATTTGATGGTACCCGGCCCGTAAATCCAGCTTTGAAAACACTACTGCCCCGTCCAACTCATCTAATAATTCATCAATTATTGGGATTGGGAACTTGTCGGGTACTGTGAGTTGATTAAGGGCCCGATAATCTACACAAAACCGCCAACTTCTATCCCTATTTTTCACCAAAATCACCAGGCTACAGAATGGACTAGTACTAGGCTTAATTATTCCTAAAGCCAGCATTTCCACTACTAATCGCTCAATCTCTTCCTTTTGGACATAGGGGTACTGGTACGGCCGAATGCTTGGTGGTGTGGCGCCTTCCGTCAGAACAATCCGGTGATCCGAATCTCGGGGCGGTGGCAACCCCATTTGGGTCGAAAAGACATCCCCAAACCAGTCTAACACCCTTTGTAATTCCAGTGTAACTGCCGGACCGGCCTCAACTAGTCTTAATTTCGGTCTCATAAAGCTAAATTAGAAATCCCATTTGTGGGAACTTAAACCGCCGAGAAAGGGCGTGAAGACTCACCGGGGAACAGCTCAATGTCGGATTGCCCTGCCACCCAACCCAACGAGAGCCGTTGAAGAACTTCAGCGCGTATTTAGACCAAACCACCCGGACTTCCCCAAGCGTCTGCAACCATGTAACCCCCAGCACCACATCCGCACAGCCCAGCTCAAAGGGGAAGAAGTCTTCCACGACACAGAAGCCTTGAATCCACAGCTCCACTCCCTTGCACAACCTTTGCTGCCGGAACTTCATTCCGTTCCCCACCTGGACCTCATAGCTAGCCATGTTATCACAGGGTAACCCCAGCTCCTCTACCACTTTAGTCGAGAGGAAACTGTGAGAGGCTCTGCTATCAATCAACACAACCACTTGGCGGGACCCCAGCTGCCACATTACCTTCATCATGTTAGAGGAGGTGAAACCGAGCAAAGAGTTGAGAGACAAATCCGCCGCCTCATCCGAGAACCTAGCGGGTGCCTCCGCCTCTTCTTCTTTCGTCTCCTCCGACTCTGACTCATCTCCAGCCACCAAGAGAACCTGCAGCTGCCGTTCTTACAACGGTGCCCCGGCCCAAATTTTTCATCACACCGAAAGCAAAGTCCCTTAGCCCGCCGTGTTTGGATCTCCTCGACGGAATGTCGTCGAAATCGTGATTCTCGGCTAGCCGCCGATAGTGTTGGAACTTTGGGCCGGCGGGCCGGCCCGAGGCCCAAATTTTTCGGGCTCAGCGAGCAGGGCCAAATGCCGGCCCGTCCAACTAAAATTTTTGGGTTCGGGAAACCCGAAAATAGACACCTCGCCGGAGCCCGCTGTCGTGTTATCGATGTCAACCGCCGTCCGCCGGAATTTTGTTTGAATTTTTTTGGCCAGGCCTGATCTGCCCGAAGCCCGAGCCCGACCAACAGATAAAATTTTGACCGTTGGAGCCCGACCCGACCCGAAGCCCGAAAATGCCCGACCCTAACAACTATTTTTTGGACCGTTGCCTGATTTTCTGCCTGAGGCCGCCCAAACCCGACCCCGCCGGGAAAAAAAAACTAGCTGTTGGATTCGAATTTGGGGGAAAAAATTAATTTTTTAACCTAAAAATTTTCCTATAAATATCTCTCAACCCCCGTCATTTTCCTCACTCAAACTCTCTCAATCCCTCTCAATTTCTCTCAATTGCTCTTAATTTCTCTCAATCTGAATCTCTCACAATTTTTTCAAAAACTATTACAATATCCTAAAGTTCTCTCTCACGAATCACTCTTATTTTTTTATAATGAATTCTTTTGATTATAGTGGTATTCCCGTTGATGCCCAACACAACGTGGAAGAAAGGCAATTTCTCACTAATGAATTTGTTACGTAAGAATCTGC